ACCAGCGTTGCTGGTGCAATAATCTAATGTTCATTCACTTTATTAGTACTAATTCATAAGTTTATACTGACAAAAGATTTTTTCTACTGATCAAATACCTATTTTTTACTGACCAAATTTCTTTTTTCTACTGGTATAAACCATATTTTTCTACTGCTATTTATATCAAATAAACTGACCACTTTATACATCTCTACTGCCATTTTCAATACTGACCATTCAATATATATACTGCTCATCTCCATACTTTTTTACTGACCATTCATTTGTTTTACCGACCGCTTATTATATTCCCAATTAAAACCGGTTACATTCAATTACAATAATTCAATCCATGCTACAACGAAATATGCACCAGAGGAAATTATGCATGGTAGAAGATGTCGTCTACCAGCTGATCCACACGATACACCAATTAAAACATTATCATCAAAAGAATGGAATGAAGAAATCAAGAAATGTTTAGATGACATCCATTTAGCAACGGTGAAGAACATCCAAAAAGTTCAAAATCAAATGAAAGCAAGATTTGATAGACATCGTCGTGATCAGGAATATCAAGTTGGTGATTTAATGGTAGTCAAAAATGAACATCCAGAAAACAAATTATCACCGAAATATATCGGCCCATATGAAATTATACGTCGATTAGGACATAAAACATATGAAGTACGATTTAATCAACACGGACCAATACATCGACTGACTGTTGATAAAATGCAAGCATTAAATTAACATAATTATGGAAATGTCAAATTGTTATTGCAGTTCATATTTACTATATTGGTATTATATTTATTGTTGATGGCCACTGCAGTGGATAGACGTATTGATATAATTATTTATGAGTGACATTACAGTTTAGACATACAATGAATTAATGTTGAAAATATTTTTATTTCTAGTTTAACAGAGTGGTTATGGTGGTGTACAACGTTACAATTATTTTGTTAATGGTACAATATTCGAAACATTATTATGCTATGGTGTTATGGTTTTATTTTCCTGCTTTATGTTACTATAATAACAGTTTTATTATTTAATAAAGATTTTTATTGATCAATAATGGATTTATTTTATTATCCTAATTATATGGATTATGTGCTATGGGTAATCGTGGAGAAGATAAAGGGTAGGGGGCTCAAAAATATAATTATATCGTACAACAGCAATCAATATAGTCAAACTCAAGATAGTATTGTTTGTGATGAATGAGGGCATTCAT